GGTGAGTGCAAAATCAGGTAACCATCCAATGGTAAAGGTACAGTATATACAGTTAAGGTAGCTAATTTAAGCAGGCAAAAAACAAGTCATTTTGATAAACAAAGATAAATGTATTTCCTAGCAAAGTTTAAGCTACTATATACAATATCCTCAAAATCTGAAATACCTATTCTGATGTAAGAATTCAAGAGACTGTGTGTCTTCCTCCTCTGAGCTCTGTAGTTAGCTCTACTACCTGAATCCTCTGAGTCCAGAGCAAGCTTTTTATCTGAAAAGCTCCACCGTACTTTGATAATGGCCAAATAAATAATACTAAATACTACTACAACGTACAAACCTTTGTCACTAAAACTGATCATGGTCAATGGCAATTACTTTTTTTCTATTGTTTATAAATGGAAAAATGCAATGAATGTGATCGCATGGATATAAAAGATGGATGGGGAGACTGGCTTCCCTCCAGGCCTGAAGATGGCACTGTAGCACTGCTTTAATCAGGAAACAGACTGCCAGTAGTCCAGTATCTGGTCTCCTGATCTGCCACTATAACTGTAGTTTGGTCATATAGTTAGCTGGATAGCAGTCAAAAGTACAAACACAAATTTCATATAAACGATAACTCAACCTACCTATATTGGGTTAAACAGATGGAATTAAGTGCCCTTTTCCCCTGCTGTGACTTAATTCATCATGTCAATATTATCTGTTAACTTCACATATAAATCATTACAGTGTGTTATATTCAATTACTGCATCTTAGAACATATTACGTACACTGATCTAGTCAGAAACTAAACATTTGCAGTTATTCTATCAAAATGATTCAATATTGATTTGACACCTTATTATTAACAGGTGTTGTCGCAAAGGCAGTATGTTACTGCACTGTAATGGACATTGAAAATGTTATTATTGCTGTAGGAAATTTAAAGAACCTATATAAATATATGGTGTGTTTTACCTTAGAATTATTGACAGAATCACTGTCATTAAAGTACAACTTATAAAGTACTGCATCACACTGCTGCATCATTGTTTAGGATAATGTATGTAATGCATATCAAAGACCAGTGCAATTTGTTCAGTGCTGACTGAGTTTATGATAAAAATTTGCATTTTGAAAAAACAAAAAGCTCCCTAAGGACAGTGTAAAAAAATGATTATTCTTTAAAACATCTGTTTGTATTTTGCCTTCAGAGATTTCACATAAACATTCTGGGTTTATAGTCCAACGTCACATAAGTTATCTGTATTGCCTCTGTAATTGCGTGAAGAAATTGTAACTCAAGCAAAGCTACTATCATCGCACAGAGCATCCTCAACCATACACCAAATCCCAAAGCCATCCCTTGCTGCATTTTTCTAAATGACCTTCTCACAGGCTGTTAAACTGTCAAACACCAAAATCATGCAAATATAACTTGCATTGTTCAAAGAAGGGTAAAATAGCCAAAGCAACTTCCAAATTGAAATTGAGCTTGACTCTTCTCAACTTTAACATCAGCAGTATCACTCTGTTGTTTGCAAGACAGCACAGTGACTGAGCAAAGAAACGTCTAATGATATCTGGCGTGCTTAGTTCATTAGCAAATTAACAATGACGTTTAACCGCATTTAACCCTACACCTTACCCACACTAGGAATACAAATTCAAAAACACAGAGAAGAAAGCACTAACAGAACACAAAAGCAGAAGACTGGAGTAATAACAGCCAACCTCAGGGGAACCTGCAAGAAAAAGCTTATGAGTGAGAATAATGATCAACCGAAGCGCAAATGATTTATTTATGAAGACAAACAGGGAGAGGCAAAGATCAAACAGAATTCTGATGGGGCAGGCAGGGGCCCGCGGAGCTGGTACTCCAGTGTCAAAGGGAGTCATGGTTGTGGACTACTCCTCGGCATCTGTGATCGTATTTCTTGGGAAAAAAAAGCAAACGAAAAATTATGATAACTGCAAAAGACTGTTTAGACTTCAGAAAATAAGACAAAGATGTATGTCTTTAAATTACAGGAGTACAATGATCAGGAATGCTGGCAGACTTCCAAATACTTTTTTATACAAAACATGGGTGGCCAACAGGACATTATTTACAGACCATAATAAAATAACTAAGCAATTGCATAGTGTGTCTTGTATACACGTATATTAGCGTATTTTGCAGTTTTAGTTCCATTGGTATATTTATGTCCATTGGTTACGATAATCTATTTGACAACATGAAGAAAAATGTATCTAAATTATATAGACTTGAAATGCGTAAACCTATATTTTTATATTAGAGACATGTTCATTATCTTGACGCGAGTTACTCATCCCATGATTACTCCCAGATTTAGAGTCAGACACAACTGAAAATGCACTCGTTTGTGAAATACAAAACAGGGCAATAAGAGAAAGTGAGGTCATTTATTAACATAAGTAAAATCTCAGGATCCCAGGGGAAATTTATATTACAAGCTTTTAGCTGCTAGAGGAGAAGCATTAAGTGTCTTCACTCACATCTAATAGTAAAAAAAAAGACAGTTTGCCCCAGTAATAGTACATGTAACAGACACTTGTAAAATTACATTAACTGCTTGGAAATGAATGATGACCAACAACACTAAATAGCAATCTGAACAGCACACTTCTAAACTAAAATTCTAAAATGAAGGAGGATACTGCTTTTTGGCACACAACAGGAATTCTAGTGATTCTCAGGAGGACCCTATGCAGGACAAGATCTGGTCATAAGAAACCTACAGAGGTCATCTGTTGTTATGATTGACCATGGACATTCTTGGTCTCAACATGTGCCAACATCTCCACTCTCTAGGAAATACTCCCAAAGCCTCTGTGTGACTCAGTGGCCAATATCCAGTTCACAATACCAAAACTACTTTTTCAGAAATGAACAGGTTGAATCTCAATTTATCACTGAGATGTTAGCCTCACATTTTTTAAACTGAAACCTCATTTTCTCTAAGTGAAATCCTCTTATACTCAGCACTTTGCTTCACAACATTATTAATTAAAGGATGACCACTAGAAGCAGAAGTAATTATTGAATTTTGTCACAGTGGAGCCCTGAGTATTACATGCTGTGATATCATGGGATTCATAGGATGAGCAGTTTAATTCAGATGGACTTCTACAACCTTCCCAGCCATTAATTTATGTCTTTTTTCATTCTGCATTCTGAAGAGCTACTGCAAACCCCTCAGTTCAAGAGCTCTGGACTTAACCTCACGGGCACCGATGTTGATGCACAAGTAATATAACACTTATATGATATACTTGTATTTGTTTGGTTAATTAATTAAGATTTTGAGAAAACCTTTTTAAAATTTTCACAAAGGGCTACATGAACATATGATGAAATATGAACAGCTCATTTACAGTAGATACTACTCAAGTTCCGTAACTGTGGTAATTAATCCAGTTCAATTGTATTAGTTGTTAAATGAAATTAGCAAAAACAATGATAAAATTATATTACATTGTGTTAAATAATTGGAACAATTAACTGTAAATATGCAGCAAAATATACTTCAGCAAAATCAGTTTGCAAAAGACAATCACCTGTGTTTAGTATTTTATTCATAAAGTTTCACCAACTAGTATTTCTGTTAAACCAAGAAGTCATGGCTAAACACATTGAGAATCTTGAGAGTATTGAGAATATGCCAAAAAGTTCTCTTAGCCGAAATAGTTATGACATCACCACTGGTAACATTGGGCCAGAGTAGAAATTTGTTGGTATAAGAAACACAGGGTTCAAGAATGACACTGAGGATTTAGGTAGAGAAGGAAGGAGAGAGAATGGTGGAGTCAAGAGATGGAGACGGTTCACAGAAGAAAGACAAGAAGAAAGAAAGGAAGGACAGGAAAAGAGGTGAGACTTTGGAGGTTTGAGATGATGCGTCTGCAGACAGAAGGAGATGACTGAGATGCAGGCATCAATAAAGGAGGAGACAAGGATATCAGCGCCAAGGAAAAGAAGATCTCAAAATAATCTTCATGAAGGTAGTATGAAAAGCCATGGCAGGAGATCAGAGGTCCAAGGGAGCAGGTGTAAAGAGAACAGCAGGGTACCCAGCACAGAGCCTTGGGGAACACCTGTGGAGCATGATTAGAGAGCAAGCCTGGCCAGGAGACACAGTAAGTGCGATGAGCAAAGTAGGAGGAGAACCAGGTGTAAGTAGTTTCCACTCCTGAATGGAAATTCTGAATCATTATATATCCAGTACTGTTAATTAAGAACTGATTTGGTAAAAGGTTAGGCTTTTAAAGAAAAGCTTTAGTGGTATTCTTTTAATGCATTATCCACCGTAAATACTTTTGCATCTAGTGCATTTATAACTTGTAATCAAAAAGCTCTTATCCCCTGGAGATTCATTTTAATTAAACTGTAGCAAATGACCAGTAATTGAACTGCATCGGTTATTTGCCTGAGGCTTCAGTTCAACATTAACGACCATTTATAAGCAGTTGAAGGGTTTTATTCCTTTTTTCTGGGGTTTATATTAAAGAATGTGAAAAAATAAATGTTGAATTACGTTATATTCTATCCCGCATTTCTACTTATTTGTAGACTCAGCTTTCCTAATACTAAACAGATTTATCAACATGAATATGGATAATATGACAAAGATTCTGTATTCTGAGAAAATAAATTAACGCAGTAACTAGGTTTGTCAAGTTCTATTATGTTTTCCACTACGCTCAACCACAACAGTGTCAAGAGGCACATACTGTACTTTTAGACAGTTTTACCTTCACTTTAGACAATACCTGAAACCGTGGTATCCATAAGCCTCATCAAATACACAGGAATGAACCATTTCACACAGAGGACTTGAATTTGTCTCTATTCTTTTCAGGATTCACCTCGCAGTATGTCAAGAAAAGATGGAATAATAGAAAATGTATTTTGCGTTTGACAAGCTTGTCCTAAAACTGAGTGGGTAACAGAAGATCCATTACACTCATCACCACAAACATAAAAGACACTCACCGTTTATCCGCCAGGTCTGTTTTGTTGCCCACTAACATGATGATGACGTCACTCCCTCTTTCTGTCCTGACATCGTCTATCCATTTGGAAGTCTGCTGGAATGAATTCACATCTGTTGAGAATAGGGGACACATTACAGTGTCAACGACCCACATAGGAAAACACGTGCATGACTGATTTTAACTTACTTGTCTCCAGTTTCAATAAAGGAGCACCCTGCTGGATTAAAAAGATTCAGATATTAACAGATCTCCACATTGAAAAGGGTCTACTTTGTCTCAAAGTCATTCGTGTGGAACCATTATCAAAACCCATTACAATCAAAAATACCTGAACAAACTTCAGAGACATACAGGAGGAGGAGGAGACATCAGTTCCCAACAGTTACACATTAAATATTATGTTTCTTAGTGTTTTGACATGACCTGGGAAGAGTCATATAAAATCATATTTGGTATCTGAGGATCTGAGAAATTTGACAGGGATTAGTGATTTTGGAATTTGTTCAGAACTTTTCCTACTCCTTCTGCTTCAGTGTGTCTCAATGCTCATTTAAAATTGAGTAGTGATGAAATACATTTAGCATTTAGAGAAATGTAGTAAATGTCTTTACTCTTGTAGTTTTGTTGCCATTACCAACCCATCACCTTGGATTTAAATCAACAGATGATTTCACAAAAGCCAAAGCCTTACCTTTTTACTAAAATATCAGTGATGTGTTCAAATCATTGTACATGCTTGAAAAGACTTTTGTTACTGATGGGATTTGCCAAGTTTTCATTCAATCAGTGCGGCTACTCATATATCTTTCTGTCACTATTTTTTAATTAACTGTTAAGGATCTCTTAATCATTACAATAACATTTGTTACTGTTAAAGATTTAAAATTCCTTTTAGGAACAAAATACTGAAAGAACCTTTGTCCAGATGTTACAAAGCAGATTAAACATCTCCATTCCTCGGGTAGAACAATAACCATCATTTCTTTTTTAAGAGACCCTGATTTCTTCTGAATTTTCCCATATATAGTACCTACATATTTACATGCATGTGAAGGGTTGTTTTGTTCTTAAGTGGTTAGAAAAGAGCTACATTTTATTTAAAAGTGAACATAAATCATCTAAGCACGCTGGCATTGTTTTGCGTATGAAACAGAGTTTGCAGTTCATCTCCTGGGAGCCAGGATCCTTATGTAGCCCATTTCTCTTGCTTGGAAACATATTAAACTCCAGCCCTGATCGCTACAGTGGGATTTCAAGACAATGAAACTGTCTACTTCTCTTAAAAAAATCTGAAAGGAGCCCCACTGAAACAGCTTCATGGTGTCACGGCATTAGGTTCTAGTTGAATAACAAAACAACTTGTGAACACAGAATGAAGGATGATTTATGAAAAACTATTTCTACAACAGTAAAAAAGACAAGCAAAAATTGTATAATAAATACTGCATACCACAGTGGCATTACAAGAGGAAATTATAAAGCTATCTTACGGAATTGAACTGATTACTTTTCAATGGCTGTTTATTACAAACAAAAGGAAAAGAAACACCTGTCTTTTCTCTCAGCTTCCTAGTTTCTAAAGTTTCCAAACACTGAACCCCATTTTTCATGTTATCATAATCCAGGGTGCACAGCAAATAAATATGTCATAAGGACTTCTGAGAAATATGGTACAGTATATTGCAGAAGGTTAAAGAAGTAATCTCTTCTCTTGGCTCTGAGATCAGTATGATTGGTGTCAAACACCAGGTGGATGCTGCACATTGGTGGTGG